TGACGTGGGTGAAATACGGTCACTGATGATGGAACCCAGGACCTACGTATGTGTCCCATCTAAACACTGTGACGGATTGAACCGTGTCCCCCAAACCCATAGGCTGCAGCCCCCCTGCCCAGTGTGTTGTGTTTGGACGAAGGAAGCGATTAGGGTTAAATGAGGCCATAAAGGTGGGCCTGATCCCACGGGGTCAGTGTCCTTAGGAGAGGAAACGCGGGGAGCTCTCTCCGTCCCTCCCTCTGCCAGGCGAGGGCAGGGCGAGAGGGCGGCCATCTGCAAACCAGGGAGAAGCCCTCACCACGACGCCGACCGCGCCTGCACCCAGATCCCCAGCTTCCAGCTCCAGGGCAGCGGGGAGTAGACGCCTGCTGTTTCAGCCCCAGCCTGCGGCCTGCGGGGTTTCGTGAGGGCCGACTGGCCAGAGAGACGGACAGGAGCACGAAGTGTTTGCGTGGCTTTCACACTTTCCAGGGCTGCGAATGCCATGCAAGGCGACACATCATGCTGTTTTATTCTGCCCTTTACCTAGAGCCGTTTACCGTTCGGTGGATCCGTTTCCAATGGCAACGCCCACTGGCGTCTGAGCCTTCCCTTACAGGCCTGTGTGTCTGTCTAGTCGCGGTTCCCAGCGCCAGGTGGCCAGCCAGAGCCTGACCCTGCGCCTGACCCCGCAGCTGACCCCTCGCCTCACCCTGCATCTGATCCTGTGCCTGACCCTGCGCCTGATCCCATCCCTGACCCCATGCCTGATCCTGCACCTGACCCCGCAGATGACCCTGCGCCTGATCCTGCGCCTGATCCCGCGCCTGACCCTGCATCTGATCCTGTGCCTGACCCCACACTTGACCCTAGCCTGACCGCGAGCCTGCCTGGTGGTGCGCAAGCCTGAAGGTCAGTCAGTCTCATTAGGAACCTCGCTGTCCCTTGTACGGTAGCCAAGGCGACACAGCAAGTTGTGAGTGTAGCAGGTTGTCGTGTCCACTTGCGGCCTCACAGAAGGCATTCTGATTCGGCTGCTCGGGGCTGGGGTCTGGCGGGAGGCCGTGTGTCCCTCTGGAGTGGTGTCATCCGCCAGGTGCAGGGCTGAAGCATTGGCCCGGGAGAGGCTGGCCTCCGAGTCTGACTCCGCCCCACCCGCAGCCCACCTGCTTCAGTGGATCTCCGTTCACGGGGAGCACAGCCCCATCCGGGCTCGAGAGCAGCCCCGTCACCTGCGGACCTAGCGGCCTCTCTCTGCTTGCTGCCTCACGTGGCGACGTGATCGTGGTCCAGGGCACCACGGCCCAGCTCTGCGGATGGGCGGCCTCACCGCCCCCCACCCCCCCGGCTCTGGACGCTGGTGCGCAAGATCAGGGCGCGGGCAGGACCGGTCCCTCTGCGTCCCTGGGGGGAGGGGGGAGGTTCTGCTCCAGCCGCTGCTGCTTGCCGGCTCCTCACCGGTCTTTGGCGTGCGGCTGCCTGTGTCCACATTTCCCTTTTGTGAGAAGATACACCGTATCGTTTAGCGCCCACCCTCGTGACTGCACTTAAATTGACTAAATCTACAAAGACCCTTTTTTTTTTTAAGATTTTAAAAAATGCTTATTTATTTTTGAGAGAGAAACAGAGTATGAGCAGGGCAGGGGCAGAGACAGAGGGAGACACAGAATCTGAAGCAGCTCCAGGCTCCGAGCTGTCAGCACAGAGCTCGACTTGGGGCCTGAACCCACAGACCGTGAGATCATGACCTGAGCCGAAGTCTGAAGCTCAACAGACTGGCCTCCCAGGCGCCCCTGGGTGTCTGTTGCGTCTTCAGTGCCTGTGGTCCTGGACCCCGAGCAGCCTGGTGCCTCTCAGGCCCGCGTCATGGTGTGGTTGCAGCGACAGCCCACGGGAGAGGCCCGGGGCTCCTTCAGCGGCCGAGTGTGGGGTGCAGGGAGCAGGTGGGCTCTGTGGGGGGCGGCTCAGGGTGAGGGCTGGGCCCTCTCCGGGCCTCGCCAATCCTCCCCCTCCCCCCTGCAGGGTCACTATGGACCGAGTGTTCTGGCCTGGTCCATGTTGTTTTCAAATAAAACTTCGACTTGGCCTATGTCTCATGTATAGGCAAGTGCTATTTAGTTGGGGCGTTTGGTGAAATCACGTGTATTGTGTGTATTCTGTATTCCGTCACAACGCCAGCTTCTGTCCGGTGGCTGCACACTCCTGTTGCGTGTCTGCCTCCTGACGTGCTAACCCAGGACTTCCTGACCTCTCAGCGCCCAGAGACAAAAGACGGGGACAGCCTGTGCTTGAGGCGGGACCCGGGAGGCGGTGCCCGTTGGCCCTGGCCACACGCCCGCGGTGCCTGGCCCGGCAGGTTCCCTACGCTGGGTCCTGCGGAACATCCCAGCTCGCATGGACACCCCAGTCCACCCAGGGGCTGCAGGGTCAAGGTCGGACATACTCCTCAAGGATGCACTCTCACGAGAAAAATTTGGGGAGGTGTTCTAGAAGGAGAAAGCCTTTACACCACGGTAAGCAAATGCAGCGCGTGGTCAGCCACCTCCTGGTTACAAAAGAAATGTGTCAGGAACAAGTCGGGGACTCTGAGCAGGCCCTCGAGGGAGGTGAGGCCGCGGTGACGAGGTTCCGGGAGAAAATGTCAAGTTGCCCATACTTTACTCGGAGTGGGTTCGAACAGAAAACGTGAACCAAACATACAGCAAATGTCCACACAGCCACAAGGCTAAAGGAAGCTGGGGGGCCGTGGGGCTGGTGCGAAGCTTCTCGGGCCTGAGCTTGGGAGGCAAAGAGCGAGCCCTTGGGTGTGGTGGTTTTCCCGCCGGATTCGGCTCAGTTCAGCCGGTGTGGGGAGCGCCTGATTCCGCGGGCCTGGGTGGGACCCAGTGGGCGAGGTGCCCTGCTGCTGGCCTGGCCGGGGTCCATGCTGCGAGGGGACAAACCCACAGCCCCGTGGAGCCCACGCTTGTGTGGAGCCCGATGCCCCCGTGGCTCCTGAAAGCCCGTGAACAGGGACTCACGCGAGGACTTACCTTCTGGAAGCTGTCATATGTGTGAAGCGCGCAGAGCTGGGCAGGAGAGGAGATGCCTGGGGCGGGGGTGGGGGAGCTCCCACACCCCCAGGGTTGAAGACGGGCCTTTGCTCCAAGTCACAGAGCCCTGCTGGGCGCGTCCCGCAGCACCCACGGCAGCACCCACACCGTCCCCGCGGCACCCCCGCCGGCCCTCCTCCAGCCTCTGGCCCCTCTGGGAGCCCCTCCGCTGCCGCACTCCTGGAGCAGCCCTTCCGCCTGGAAGACGGCGGCCACCCCACCAAGGGCTTCCCCGCGGCCACGGCCTCCAGCTGCCACAGCCACCCTCCTGCCGTCTTTCCGCAGCTGCTGTGGATTTTAGTGAATAGATGCTTCTCAATTTGTTGGAAGCCCTTTGGTCACTTCCAGAGACTATAAATGGCTGTTACTGATTCTGACCAGTTATCCGATGCCTCTCTTGGGTAGAGGTGTCCCTGGGCAAGTCACACTACCATTCCAGAAGTCCTGCATCCTTATCGTTCTTAGAGCTCCCTGAACAGGCACCTGCCTCAGGGCCTTGGTATGTGCTGCCCTTTCTGCTCACAGTACCCTCTCCAGGTGCCTATCACATGGATCACTTTTCACGCTCTTCTAGCCTCTGTTCAAATCCCACCTGCTTGTAGACAGTCCTTGCCAGCAGTTGGGTAAATTAAGGGAAAAAAAATGCATTCAAATTAAAACGAGGATTCAATTTAAAGTTCTTTCCAACACTCAGCACAAGCACTCCTTCCAGACCGTCTACACTTCTTTGCTAAGTTCAGCAGACCCTTATGAGGCTCACACAGCGTGAAGCCTGACACCGATCTGTACAAACCAGGCAGATGCATGGGTGGGGGATTCTCACTCCGACAGCACCAGGCCTCCATGTGGCCCTGCTCTCCCCCTCCCCACACAGATCTGATCCCCGGCTGAGCCGGCACACGTGTCCCCTGCGTGTGTCTCGCGGGCTGTCGCCCCTGCAGCCTTAGCGGCTTCAGGACCTAAGGACGGTGGCTCCTGTAACGACAGCGGTGTCCTGCTGCAGCCCGTGAGCTCCGGCGGGAAAGGGGGACAGAGCAGAGCCCATGCTGGCAGCATGGGATGGCGGGTGCCCATGGGCGCTGGGAGACTGGGCACAGACGCCGTGAGGGGCCCGGGATGGACCACTGTGAACGCCACGTAAGCACCACTTCAGGTCTGTGGCGGACGAGGGACAGGAACAGGGCTGCCCCCCCTCCGCCCCCCCCAGCCGCAGCCAGTCAGGACGGGTGGGGCTGGGCGGGCGCAGACAGGCCTCTGGGGGCAGGAGACAGGGAGTGTCCCGACTTCGATGAGGAGGAATCGGATGTCAGGCCCAGCTGACACTACAACAGCGACAGCCTGAAACCCGCCCGCCCGACGTCGCAGAAGCGGGTGCAGGGACTTGGGGTGAGGCCAGGACTGGACGGGGGGGGGAGGCCTTCCCGCTGTTCTAGCTGCTATTTTCTGGGCTGAGTGACCCTAGTGGACTTGTCGGGGACCCAGGCCGTGTGCAGCTGGGGACGTCTGCCGGGAACTGGTGCACATAAAGGTCAAGAGCCTAGTGCTGTGTCCTGCCTGCCCCCCACGGAGCCCGTTGCTGGTCCCCAGTGGGGGGGGGGGGGGAGGTGGCCGCTGACCGCGTCCAACATCCTGGTGGCAGGCACTTCCCTGGGCCGGAGCGGGGCGTCTCCAGCTAGGACGCCGGCGCCGCTCTGCTGACACAGGGGCCCGCGGAGCAGAGGCGTCAGGCCCGGCGCCAGTGGCTCTGCTTCACCCAGCCGGGAGACCCCCGCGCGACCCCTCGCCGGCTCCGGGGGAAGGACAGGTGCCTGCAGAGGCCTGTCATCAGGCGCTCAGGGCTGATGTCAGCATCCCGCAACCCCACGGCACACTCCGTCCCCAAGACGTGTACGTTCACGCGCACGGACAGCCAGCGTCAAGTACAGATCCGAGTGCAAAGACAGGCTGTTTATTGGACTTGGCTTTGACGTGACCCACACACTCTGCAGACACGGGTACAAAGGGACTGTAAACAGGCGGCTCTTGCCAGCGGTCAGGCAGATCAGAGAAGACAGATCAAAACACAGCTTCCATTTCATGTCCTTTCCAACACTAATAACCACTTCCAGATGGCCTTGACCCCTCTTTGTGCTTTCGGGTAAATAGGAGTTAGAAAGGATTACACATTTATAAAGTGATACCAAATTGTACAAAACCAACCAGACGAACAGGGTAAGGGGGAAGATGACGGCTGTACAAAATACTGTAAGATCACCAGCGTGGACGTAAATCATTTCCGCTTTGGGCTTCCAGCCCCCTTAGTGATTTCACCTAGGAAAATAACATGCATCAAATAGAAAATTGGTTTCCTAAATACATTTTCTTTGTATGACACATTCTTGTTGAATGTGTATGTAATGAGAATTAAAAATTTTTTTTCTTCCTTCGTTGCCAAAATGTAGGCATTAAAAATAAGCCTCAGCAAACCTCCTGAACTCACCCAGAGAACAGAGTGAGTGAGGACAGACTGAGACAAGGGTGACACACCGTCACCCCTGGGCCCGGGTCCAGAAGGACAGCAGGACTGGCAGGTGCCCCTCAGGGACGCTCCACGGGGGCCTCAGCAGACGGGTGCACCCTGGTGCTGAGACGCCTTCGCGCAGCGGGATTACGTGGCCCATCATTAAAGCTAAAGCAAAAACCGTTAGAAAAATAATCTGGCCGAGGGTAACGAGACATTTCTTTTAAACAAAAAGTTAACAAAGTTTGAATATTCAAATCTAACCTCGTCACACGATCAGATTTGGTTCTGAATGTGATTGTATTTTACCAAATGCAGCACGTGACCCCATACAAACGCCACCACAGTCACCGTTACACAGTGTTAAGACTTCTTGTTACAACCACTACTTGACAGTTTGGTGTTATTCTCCTCGTGGCCTAATTGTGACAGGACTTTAACACAGAGCAGGCAAAGGACAAGGGTCACACTTCCTTCCCAGGGGCCGCCCGACCCCGCAGAAGCAGTATCGCAGATGAAGCCCCACCCTGATCACGTGATTAAGAAACCAAAATCAAATCAACACAGTCCCACGATCCCGGAGGAGCCCCTTGTCACCCAAAGCTGTGGCCGGCCCCACAGAGGCAATGCCGGGGCCCTCTCCAGGGGAGGAGTGGGGGGAGGTGGCAGTTTTCACTCCCAGGAGGCCCGAGGTCCCCTGTGCAGAGAGAGACCCAGGGAAGCACTGGGCACCCGTGTGCCAGGCCTACAGACCCAATCACATCTCTCTTCTTCAAGAGTGTGATCTGTTATTTCATAAACTCAAGGAGGAGCTGGGGCGCCCCAGTGTCCTTCCCTGGGTGAGCACCGTCCGTCACGCAGGCTCAAGGGACAGACGTAGCTTCCCCACGCTCTGCTCCTGCTTCTCCAACTGAAGTCGGAGCGCCTTCCGCTGATGCGTGTGATTAACTGAAATCAGAACTCTATAAAAATTGTAAGTGCAAGCTGCAATACTTCAGATAAAAGGTAGCTACGGGCACATAAATATGCAGAAGGAACCCCGGAGGGCTGCGTGCTTCTGCCCTGGCACGGGCTCTGGCGTCCGGACTCCAACGCCACACCTCTGAAGATAGGAATTTTAATCCAAGTCGGGAAAGCTGCTTTGGGGGACGCCAGTCGCGGCGAGCGCTGGCGCAAAGGCTCGCGTTTGGAGGAGGGAAGCAGAGCACGTGACCTGCCGGAAGGCGGTGCTGGCGGCCCCGGGTGAGAGCCGGGGGGCGCTCACCAGTGAAGACACTTGGGCTGGCCTGAGAGGTAGGACACAGGGAAGGAAGGGGACAAGGCCCAGGGGCAGGGGCTCTGCCCTCCCCGCCTCCGCTGGGCACCCAGAGAGAAACCACCACCGACGGCTGACGGGGTACAGGCCCAACACAGCCCTGCCCAGCACACGCGAGGCCGGCAGGGTGGGTGGGTGGGGCGCTGCCAACATGCTTCACAAGGACTGCAGGCCACTGGAAGCCGGCCCCCCCCAACACACGCTGCGCTGGGCACCCAAGTTCCGAGCCGTCAGCCGACCAGGATGTGCCCTGGGGGCTCTGCGGTGCCTGCAGCGTCAGGGCCGAGTGGCGGTCGCGGTGCTCAGCTCCCGCACTCAGATCCATGCACCTGAGCCTCCAGAGAGCCCCTGCGCTGACGGCGTTTGTCGCAAAACGATCTGATCCGCAAGACGCACGCAGAAGGGGTGGAGTCGTGGTGGCTCCGCTCACAGCCTCGTTTGTACAACTCATGGTGGTTATAAAACAATAGAAAACGACCCACCTTCTTAAAGTTACAATTTATAGAACATCTGTACAAAACCTGTCCCTAAAAGGGCTCTCTGGTGCCCTAGAAGAAGTCCATGGCTGTGGGCCTTCTCTTTGGCGTGGCGGCCAGCAGCTTCCTGGCCCCCAGGGGGGTGCAGGCTGGTGAGCTGGTGGGGGTCTTCAGCACGCCATGGAGGGGCCTCTGCTCAGGGTTGAAGGCCACCCGGGAGGGGCCCGTGGGGCTGACCAGGATGCTCTTGTCTGTCTTCTTGAACTCTGTGGCGGGTGAAAGCAAGGCCACACGTTACGAGGACCCGTTCCTCCGCCCCTCCCGCCTGCCCCAGCAGCGCCCCACGTGGGTGCCACATCATCACTTGGCACTGCCGGTGGCCCCTCAGAGCTGGGCCGCTCCCCCCGCCGCGAGGCCCTGCAGACAGCGAGCTGGGAGCTCTTTGAGGAACTGAGAGCCCCTATGGAGGCTGTTTCACGGGAGCGAGTGCACAAGTGTCAGAAGACCGTGCGGCGAGCCAGGTTCTGACTCTGACCTTGACCCTGGGGGCGGGCTGCAGCGGGACACGGATGGACCTGATGGAGGCTCAAGGAGGAGCCTTTCTCTGTAGGAGGCCGGACACTCTTTTAGGCCCCAGCTCCCAGGACAAGGCCTAACAGCCTGGGGGCACCTCAAGCTCTCCCTGGATGGTTCCCCCCACCCCCCGTCTCCTCGTGGTCCCCATAGTCAGGTCTGAAACTCATTACACTTTCAAAACGTTTGGTTTCTGTCAAACCGAACCAAACCGGGGAGCGGTACCGACACTGAAAGCAATGGGACGAGAACACCCTCTTTTCCCGTCTCCTCTTGGGCAGGTGACTCCAAATGCCAGCACAGGCAGCCGTGGCCGGAGGGCTGTCAGACGTCCCCCAGCCTCTGAGGCTCTGGCAAGTCTGGGTGGGCGGGCTTGGGGACATGGCCTCCTTCCAGAGGCCCCTTGCGGACTCTGGACCACAGGCCCTGCCCGCCTCGGGGCAGCGGGAGACGCGGCCCCCACTCACCCGCGGTCATGTTTCGGTTCAGCCCGAAGGTGACCTTCTTGGAGCTTGAGGGCGTCTTGTCCCGCTGCAAAGGGAGGACACAGGAGAGTGAGACCCAGGGTGTGTGTGTGGCCACACGGCAGCTGCGTGCGGCACCGGGGAGGGCAGGCGAGCACCGCGGGGTCTGAAACCTTCCACGTGACGGGAAGCAGCCCACCAGGTCAAGGCCGTTGTTTTAGTGTGCACGCGCACTGGGGCAGCACACCGGCACAGGCTCTCACCCAGGGGGTGAGACGCACCTCCCTGCGTTTCACAAGCTCATCTGATGTCCTGGCGATTCGTCAGAACTGACCAAGCTGTTGCACGTCTGACACCTTCCCGGATGTGCACACGCTCCGTGTGACAAAGCAGCCCCGTCCCTGTGCGGATCCCGTAGCCCCGCCCCGTAAACGCTTTGCCGGAGGGGCTTGTCCCCTGTGCGCCCAGTGTCCCCGGGACACCCTACCTGCCTATTAACACGGGCAGTCGTCAATGCCGGTTAGAGGCTACTCACACAGTAGCTCCTCCCTTGCCCCACACACCCGCAGCAGCTGCTGGCCAAGCTGCCCCCGGGCTCCGTGATGGCTGCCGCTCTCTCCCACCCCCGTGACGGGGCCACGGGGCTGGCACCCACTCCTTCCCCCACCCTGACCGCCCCCGAGTCCCGGGCAGGGGCCCCCATCCCCTCCTCCTCCCGTCCCCTAGGCCTGTTCTGCGAACTCTCAGACGAGGCGTCACCCATTGCAGCTGCACGTCCCCTGACCACCCCGGTCCCCCGCCAGCAGACCTGGGCTCCCTGAACATGACCCCAGGTGCTGTGGGCAGAAGCAGAGGCCCAGCGCCCAGAGCGCCCCCACCCGGCCTTGGGGCGGGACCGGGCTGTGCGCTGCAGGGGCGGGTGGCAGCGCGCTGGGCCGAGTGCACGTACCTGCCCGGCAGGGTGCGCACAGGCGGCAGAGGCACCGCTCTTGGCTTTTCTGAAGAACAGAGGCTTCGGCAGGAAGGGGGTGTCGAACCTCACAAAGTCATTCTCTGTCCTCGGCTGCTGCTTCTTGGAGAGGCTGAAAGTCCCCCCACTGCCCTACGGGAGGGAAGGGCGAGAGGGGAGTTGGCACTGAGGCACACGGAGGTGAAGTGGGACGGGGTGAGGGGTGCACACACAGCCGGGCGGGGCCCCCACGACGCAGCGTCTGCAGCGCAGACCCCCCACGCCCACCGCTTCCTGCAGCAGGTGATGAGCGCCGCTTCCACCCGGCCGGGTGCAGATTCAGGCACGCGCGGCAGCTCCCTCCCACGGTGCTGTGCCAAGGGGCAGGGGGCTCCTAGCCTCCCACCCACAAGATGCCCTCTTTATGCGTCTCCAAACTCAGGTTCCCTGTTCTGAGATTTCTGCCTTACAAAGGCTACCTATTAGGTAATAACTCACTTTCTCATTTCTTTTTTTTTCTCTAAGTTTATTCATTTTGAGAGAGAGTGAGCGTGCAAACGAAGGGCAGAGAGAGAGACTCCCAAGCAGGCTCCACCCTATCAGCAGAGCCCAACATGAGGAGTGAACCCACGAACCAGGAGATCATGACCTGAGCTGAAACCAAGAGCTGGACACTTCACTGATGAGCCACCCAGGCGCCCTCATCTCCTCCTTTCTGATCAGGAAGGACGAGGGTGACGTCAGGCAGATAAGGAGACGCGCTGGGGGTCTGACCGCTGCCCTCCGGGCCCACAGCAAGGACCCTGCCCTGGCTCTGGGAGGTCACACTGCTAGCTCCCGCCAGGCCTGGGAGCTCCCAGCTGGGGAGCGGGCCGCCTTCCCGCAGAACCCACAGTGCTGCCAGCGAGGGGCAGACCCAGGCGGCCTCTCGCGAACCTTTGGCCCCACTGGCAGAGACGCGGGGCCCTTTTGGGAGGAAAACCTCCCGTGACCCGTGGCTTACTTGGCAATAGTTCTAATCCTAAGAGAGGTTGCCAAGGGCCTGAGAAATGATATTCAGAGATCTCTCTGATATTCTCAGCAAATGAAGAAAGCAGAAAGGGCAGCAAATGAAGTGTGTGAACGGCCACAGGACAATGGTCCAAGTGACAGAGCTGGTCAGGGAGCGGTCACAGGTGAGAGCAGGCTTCCTGGAGCCCGGCGGAGAGCTCTGAGGGCCTCCCCAGCTACGACGTGTTCTGACACAAGCTAACGTAACCATGCGGGGATACCACCGGCCTCGGATCGGCACGCAACCCAGCCTACGCAGGTTCCCACCGACAAGGCCTTGGCGTGTGAGCCCGCGGCAGCGCCCGCACGGAGGGGAGTGGGACGTGCTCAGCAGGCCTGTTCCGGCAGGGCCTGCAGCTTACGAGGTTTCCGCCTCTACCACCGCCCTGGAGCGGCCCACAGGTGCCTGGCGTGGCTGGCGTCACAGTGGAACTGCACCGTCACTGGTGCAGATGCTCCCGAGCCTGACCGCTCGCTGACCCTGCCTCAGACGTGTAAGCAATGACTGTCTCTTCATTAAAGAGCAAAACAGAAGAAAACTCGGGGCTGCCTCTTTTGCCAAAAGGGGCTGAGGACTGGCCAGAGTTGATGATGAGAAAGGGGACCAGCATCGGACAGCGACGCCGTCTGGCGGCTCACCCCGCAGGGCAGCAGCGCCCGCCCTCCCGCAGCCTTGTGGGGGACTGGGAGGGCCACCAAGAGTCGTCTGTATTCCCTCGTAAACCAGGGAGGCTCCTCAGTGCTGAGGATGGACCTGTCCCCACCCGCCCCCCAGATCTCGGCCTGCAGACGGGGGGCCGCGCCGGGGCCTGCTGCCTTACCAGAGCCTGGAAAAGCCTGGCTTCGGACTTGAGCACTCCACTGCGCTCCACCAAGTGACACATCTCTTTCATCTTCTTCCTCTTTTTCAAGATGGCGGTTTTCTGGTGGGATGGGTTGTGAAGATCAAGGCCACTGGGCTCTCCCTTCTTTTTCTTCAGTCTCCCGGCCGGGGGCAGGCCGGCTGGACGGCCCTCCTGCTGGGGCGAGGGCCAGGCCAGCGTGGGGGGGCCGCTGCCATTGACGGGGAGGGCCCCGAGTGTCCTCTTCCTCTTGTGGACGGGGGCTCCGCTGGTGGGGGCCGCGGGCGGGGACGGCACCCGGGCCGTGTCCTCCAGAGGCTGTGGCGATGTGGGGTCCATGGTCTCCGCGCTCTCGCCCTGGCCCCTCAGGCTCCTCTTCCTTGGTCGTTTCCGCTTCCTGTGCACTAGGGCAGGCCCCGAAACGCCCTGCTCTTGCGGGCCAGGGGCCGCGGGCGCCCCCGGCTCAGCTGCAGGCATCTTTGGGGCTCTTCCCTCTGGCTCCCCGCTCCCGTTCTGTTCTGGGGGCAGGGCCTGGGCCCCCGACCCTAAATGTGCTGGATGGAGATGGGCCTTCTTCCTCTTTTTCCTTTTTCTCTTCTGAATGCTGCCTTCACTCTCTTCCTCAGCAAGAAACGAGTTGTTTCCTAGAGACACACACCCAATACGCAGGTGCCCGATGCAGGGCGACAGCCACCCCGTGTTCCACCCCCAGAGGAGCCCTGGCCCTCTGTGCCCCCACACCCCACAAGCTTTGTCGCGGGGCGCCATTCCTTCCATCCCGGCTGGGACTGCAGGCCTCCAAACGCCTGTTCCCAGAGATGGAACAGCATTACTGGTTCCCAGGCCCTACGGCGAAGCCACAGGATGGGGCGCAAACAGGGCCAGTGCTCCAACGGCAGGGTCTCTCTAGCATTTCCACTTCCTGGCCGCAGCCCTGAAGGCGCCCCGAGGAGGGGACACACGCTCAGAGCCTAGGAGCCGGCGGCGGTCCCACAGGAAGCAAGACACACTCCCAAGCCGACGCCTGGCTCTGGCAGGCCCTGGGGACAGAGGGGCTCCCCGCGGGCTGCCGCGTCCTCCTCCCCACCCCGCGTCCGCGGCAAGCTCGCGGCTCACCTCCCTCTTTCTCCGGGTCGGATTTCTCTAAAAGTTTATTTCCTTTTTTCTTGTGCTTTCCTCGGTTGAGGGTTTGGTCATCTTCATCAGCAGAAACGTCCTCAGCAAAACTGAGCTGGGATATGGTGCCTGCTGGACACCAAAGGCACTGTGGTCACAGCTTGTGGAGACTGTCCCCACGGTCCCACCTCACACGGGGAGATTCCCCACCTGAGTCCCGCGTGCCCATCGGGGCTCCTTGCCGCCTTCCCAGTGCAACCTGTCAGCTGCTGACGGGGACCGTGCACCACAGGGGAAGCCCTGGGGCCTGCCCGTCGCTGGGCCGTTGCCCCCCCCCCCCCGCCCCCGTTCTAAGTGCCCAGGCGCACACGCAGCCGGGTGAGCTGCCGGCTCGCCCACGTGTCCCCATGGCCAACAGCTTTGCCCCCGGGGCACAACCGACCACGACAACAAAGGAAAAGCACCCTGAGAGGTTAGCTTCTCTTCTTTCTATGGAATCAAACTGGAACCTTCCTCAACTGCCAGAAATCCTTCCTGCTAAGACGATGCCCCCGGCCTCGGGTCTGGCCCCGCCGCGGTCCCGGGATGGGAAAACGGGCCGACTGGCAGAGGCCCGACGCGGCGGCGCTCCCAAGGGCTCGGCTGACGCCTTTCACAGGCGTCATGTTCCCGGCCAGGGCCTCTCAAGCCTGTGTTTCCACAGCTGCCGCGAGGGCCTCAGTGGGGCCCCGCTCCCGCAGCGTCGTCAGCGTGACCCCTGGGCTTCCTCACCTTCAGAGAGATCCTGAAACCTGAAAAAGCAATCAGGAGAAGCTCTGAGAAACCCCTCCTCCCGTGTTCTGCAAACACCTGCACGCAACTTTTAAGACGTGCTATCTGGAGGTGCATCAGTTCACTTCCTTCTTCTAGAAGGGGAGGCGAAACCTGGAGTGAGGCAGAGGCCCCCAGTGGAGGACAAATGGCCCTCGATTAGTGCCAACCACAGGACGCGGTGACCCAGAGACTCTATCTTGGTTCGTCTGCGTAAAGCCAAAGAGACGGAAGCGTCCTTCTTCAGGCTGAGGCTGCTCGTCCCTTCTGTGTTCGCCCAGGGAACATGCCCCCCCCGCTGGTGTCAGAAGAGCAGGGAAGGGCCGTGACTCCAGGGGGAGGTGGGGGGTGGACAGCACGTCTGAGTGCAGCCCCGCCACCTGGGAGCTGTGACCTTGGGCAAGACGGTCACCTGCCCTGTGCCCGGCTGGCCCATCTGTGAGGCGGGGAAGGACAGAAGCTGGTTTACGGGTTTACAGGGCCTTTCTGAACCCGACAGAATGTATGTCAAGTGCCCTGAGGGGCGCCTGCTCACACAGAGGCCAGTGAACCTCGGCTGCCCCGTGCCGCCAGCCCCGCTAAGCCAGGGTGCCCCGTGCCGAACTGCTGCAATGGCCAGTGACACCTATGACCACACGTGCCCTAGCTGCAGAGGAGGTGAGGCAGCGGGTTCGTGACACCCGTCTGCCCCGATAACACCGACACAGCCCTTTCGGGCTGTGATTTCTGGCTCCGCCAAGGTCCTTGACGCCCTCAGGCCGCGGCCCGGGAGGGGAGCTATGGGGCTGTGAGGCGGGGAGCGGCCTGCTCACAAACCCCCGGCTGCCCTGTGCACCCAGCGCTGCTGTGGCTGGAAGCCAGCAAGGCCAGGCGGAGGGGAGCGGGCCGGGGCACCCTCCACCCTGAGCTGTACAAAGGGGGCCGGGGGGCATCAGCGGGGCACCCACCGCTCACTCACTTCTTGATGAGTTTGGAGAGGCGCTTCCTGTTGAAGGGAGGGGTGTTCTTCCTGCTGGTGATCTCCAGGAGTCGGTCAGCGACAGCCTTGTAGTCGAACTGCGTGAGAACAACGAGACGTGAGTCCGCAGCCAGACTGCCGACGGGGAAAGTCCCTCCCGCTGGGGAGGGAAAGCACAGCCTGGGGCTCCAGAAGCGTCCTCAGCCAGTGCCGAGGCTCAGTGACCAAAGGCTTAGGCGGCAACTTTGGAAAATTCGCTGTCTGTTTTTGGGGGAAACTACTCTTTACCTGCTCTATTTTATTTTTTAAGCAAACAAAACCCCCTGGTAAAACACACCACATGACGCGTGCCCAGGCGTGGCCTTCTCTGCAGGGTCAGTCCAGGTGTCCAGCTGACACCCGGGAGCCTGGGGGCCTGTCCCTACGGGAGAAGCACCGAGCTGGCTTCCCTGCACGTGCGGAACAGACCCCAACGGTTGAAGCCGAAGTGAACACTGACATCTTTCAAAATTCTGTCACGTTTAAACTTGTCTCCGAGAAGCTCATGTAGGGAAGGTGACGTCAGCGAGGGAAGGGATTAAAGACGACTTTACACTCAGGCCTCGGGGATAATAAGCTCTGACCCTAATTCCCACCCGCCAGGCCACAGCACAGCAGATCCACCTCTACCCACCTGGAGCAGGGGCCCAGCGCCCTCCGGGCTCCCACCACCGTGCTCCCCATCGCCGCTGAGCCCATCAGGTCCGGAGTGCTGCCTGCCCGGTGCTGTCAAAACATACCCGAGACATGGTTGCAGGCGCACGGCGGCGACAGCTTCCCCGGAGCCGCTGTCTCACTCGGCGTCTCCTTGCAGAGAACACCCCGCAGAGATATCCATAATCCCCCCCGAGTCTCCTCACAGGAAACCCGGAGTAAAGCACACATTCCGCCTTCCGATCACACCACACACAAACCTCCGGCTGCGCTGCGCGAGCCTGCCCCGACACCTAGGGGTCGACCTGAAGCTGTGGCAAAAATCCGTACGGCTAACAGGCTGGCTTCTCACAGGGTTGCGGCGGGAGACGCACACTAATACGAACACAACCTGGAGCGTTTACAGAATAACTCCGGGAGTGCTGAGGCCAGCTAAGAGGTAGATAAAAGCTCACAATTTTTCAAATCCTATGAGTTCATCAGAGGTGCAGCCCAGTGCACAGCCTGGAGACAGCAGGGCCCCGTGCTCCCGGCCAGCACGACAGAAGAGGCTGGGGCGCGTCTCCAGTTCGGACAGACACCTGGCGCGCAGGGGTGAGCCAGAGACAGCTCCCGACCACAGCACCTGTGCAAGGTCATCTGGTTAATTCTGTGACCTGCATGGAATTTAAGATTAGGTTTTTTCTTCTTTCTTTTTAGGATAATGATTTTTCTGGTGAAAAAAATAATACATGGTCAGCGTAGAAAACCCACAACAGACCAAAGTACAAAGAAAGCAGAAGTCACCTGTAACGCTGTCATGCACGACTGACTATTGACGTTTTGGTATCTTTCCAGATTTATTTTCATTTTTTGTTTTTTTAAAGCTTATTTATTTTGAGACGGAGGGAGCGTGAGCAGGGGACGGGCAGAGAGAGGGGGAGAGAGGGGGAGAGAGGGAGAGAGAGGGAGAGAGAGGGAGAGAGAGGGAGAGAGAGGGAGAGAGAGGGAGAGAGGGGGAAGCAGGTTCTGTGCTGAGTGTGGAGTCCGACATGGGGCTCGAACCCACGAACCATGAGATCATGACTTGAGGTGAAATCAAGAGTCAGACGCCTATCCGACTGAGTCACCCAGGCGCCCCTCTTTCCAGATTTTTAAAGGCATGATGTTAAAAACCTGGCTCCTGGTACAGAGAAAGTTCGGTGTCCTGTTATTAAAAAATATGTAAATCAAATTTTCTCTGGTCATCACTTTTTGAAATCTTAGCTTTTTATTGGCTAACTGACACTTCGATGCTGCGCCCTGAGACGCCATGAGCCACCGCCAGACTGGACGTGCTGCAACGAAAAATGCACGCTCCACATGCAGCTGCTACAGACACAAGAGAGGTCTGCACGGCATCTGGTCCCTGCACAAAATCCCCACAGGATACCCCCCAGTGAGTGGTATCCATCCTCAGAGAAGGAGCCCTGGAGAGAAGGGGAGATCAGGCAGCAGAGCTCTAGGAACAAGTGTTGTTTGCAACGGGACCGCTGAGGACCTCTTGCAGATGCAAGTCAACATTAGGATGTTTTCCGATATCAAAAACCCAAAACAACAAAAACAAACAGGAGTCAAAGGAAGAGCAACACAAGGTAGAACCCGAGGGAGCCGGCGACCCGGAAGAAGGCATGTGCACGTCGCCGAGGCCTCCTGGGCAAGGGCCGGCGTTTCCGCACGGCTCTGCCTCTTTCTCTGGGTGGCCTGCGGCCGAGCCACCTGCGGTGACCTCTAGGTTGTAGTCAGCAAGGCTCCAACAAACGTACCAAAAGGTGCTCGTCTGATGAGAACTTTGTAGAAAAAAAAAAGACTGTAGAAATCCTCTTACCGGTCTTCATTTTACTGTCGGACTGTCTCCAGGCCACCGCGTACTCAGGCGTCTCTTCTTTAGGGTGCTCGCTCTCGGCCGCGTGGGGTTCCTGCTCCTCGAGGGACTCTTCGGGCCCGAGAGGAGACTGGTCTACAATGACTTCGAGAACACCCCTAGCTATCGTCTGCACCAGCGTCTGGCTGGGGGGTAAGAAAATCAATGAGAAGCTGGTTACAACAGAGGGCCTGGCCCTGCCCTGCGATGGAGTGTGGCGGGGGGAAAAGCCTCCTGGCACCCGGCGCCACCGCCTGCCTGCCACGCCACACTCCGGGGCCACCGGGGAGCCTCGTGGTAAAAGCAGGCAGCGCTGCAGTCCAGGAAGCGCCGGCTCCTGGAGGGCCTGGGGCCTGACCGCAAAGCCGGTGGAGTCCAGTTAGGATTCCAAGCTTCCAAAGTCTCACTGCAGAGAATGAGAGCTCAGCCGTCCGGGCTCGACGTTAACCGCCACAGGGACTCGCAAGCTACCACCATCACCCACAATGAAGTACCATGTGAGGCAGAGAAAACAAACACGGAAATTACTTACTCCTTTGTCTTGGCAGCAATTTTGCAGAATGGATCAATGAACTTGAGGTTCTGATCTGCCAAAAGCTAGAATTTAGAAACAAAACAGGAAAAACATGAGGGGAAAAAAGAGCCTCTGCCCCATTCTGCTAGTCCTACAGAGGGGGACCGTTTGCATTTTTCATGGAGGTTGGAGAAGGACAACAGCTCTCCACGGCGCCCAAGCTGAGCATGGTGTGAATCATCCAGATGCTCTGCACCAGGCTAAGGCCATCTAAAGTCACGGCCATCTTCCAGCCACCGGGGTGTCAGAGACCGGTGGCCAGAGAAACCCCCCCAACAGCCCGCGCTGTTCTACTTTCTCTCCCCACCAGACGGGCTCCACATGGACGTGACTGAAAACTGTAAGACCAAGGGACCGTTTCTACTTTCTTCTCAAGAGAATACGTGTTCACGGCAGAACACTGGCAAAAACGTGTAAAACTAGAAAAATAAAAAAGGTCTGAGAATCCCAGACTCAGAGCATCACTGCTGGCATGCCAAAACCACGTTTCCTTTCCCACACCGTCCACTCACGCGTAAACACGGGACTGGAAAGGGCACGGCCACGGGCACAGTTTCTCCCGCCTGCTGCTCAACAAATCAGTACTGAGAGCACAGTCCCGTGTTACTATGGGGCCGTGTAGGCTGCTTTCGACTCTCCTACACGGAAGCCTCCCAAGAGTGTCCTCGGTGCACGATCTTCGTGCATGTGTCCCACCGGCTGCTCGGGACACGGCCCCGCACGGGGAGGGGGTCTGTCAGTACAGGCGGCGCCTGTGCCCGCCGCGCTTCCTCCACCCCTCTAGGCCCACGTGGGGAAGAGCCGGCACCGTACCGCTGGCCGGGTGCCTAACTGCGCCTTACCTCTCTCCCTCCCACTTTGGACAGTTCATCCAGATAAATGCCGATGAAGTGAAACTTCACTCCGTTAGGAGACTGGCTCTCAGGATGCAGGATCTCTTTCACCAGCACATCCAGGAAGAGCTTGATGCGGCTGAAGAACAGGAAGCACACGGCTGTTAGCGGCAGCGCGCCTGGGGGACACGGTCATGCTCGTTCCCGCGCCACACCGCCACACTAACAGTACAAGGCTGACACAGGCTCACGAGGGGAACGCAGTCACCAAAAAAGGTCTAAATGCTGCGTGCGTGCTCAGCCCCGTTACGAGCCTCTACCGGGCGCAAGGAGCTTTGCTTCCCATAGTAGATAAGTGAGTGGAAGGCAAAGATCAGGCAATTCATACGAGCTAAGTGCAAGGCTTGAAAATCACACTGCTTTGCAAGTGTTACGGCCACTACCTGAATCCTTTACTAACCTTTCTTCCCAGCCATTTCGCTTCAGAACCTCAAAGGACTGCCTCAGGACCAGACGGATCAGCTACAGACAGACAACACGTTTGTTACAGAAGGAAGAGAAACGCCAATCAGCAGAATCAGGGCCTCAGGGGAATCGGTACAGCCTGCATCTCCCAAGGGAAAATATAGTCAACAATTGCAGTTACCTTTTCTTTTTTTAAATGTTTATTTGTTTTGAGAGAGAGAGAGAGAGAGAGAGAGAAAGAAAGGAGAGAACCCAAGCAGGCTCCACACTGTCAGCGCAAAGCCCAACTCGAGGCTCAATTTTATGAACTGTGAGGATCATGACCTGAGCGGAAATCAAGAGTTGGATGCTTAACTGACTGAGCCACCCAGGCGCCCTGCATTTACCTTTTCATCAGAGAGTTAACTAAGGATCCCCACACTCATCCCCGCAGCTGAAAGAGCAAACAGAGGCGCCTCCGAGCACATATCCAAGTGCTGTGCCTTGATCACACAGCCTCTCAACACACTAAGCCTGGAGCTCACTCTGCTTCACAGATCGATCTTTCCATTGTTCTCAAGATGCTCCATGCCTTTCCCTTCATGGGCCTCTGAAGCAAACGGGGGTAAAGGTACTCGGATCTTACCATATAGTACTTGCCCAGGCGCAGCCGGTCTATCCCCTTCCACTCTCGATTCATCGTTTGCCAGAAGGTTTGGATGAACAGGTGTTCTGCAGTGAACAAAAGGCTTTGAATGCTTGGTTTTCAGGCTCACGCGTTCCATAAAGCAAGAAAGTAACAGAGAAACAAACTAGGATTATTTATCATTTACTTTTTCCAAGAATTTTTTGGCAGCTAGAAGACCTAGTCGATAATTAAATATGCTCCATAATTCCTTTTATGTTTAAATAAAAACCTATTAAAACAGGTAGACTGGTAATATCTCGATGTTCAACTACAATGCTTGGTGGGCCTTTCCTTTAGCTAACGCAAGGCCACATTTCTATTAAAGTAAAAAACTCTGAGGCACGTCTATGGGCCTTTCCCACCCACCTACACCTAACAATGGATCCAAAGCCATTAATTTTGATGAACACTTGGATGATCTGTGTAGAAACTCAGCTTTGTGTTTCATGTTCTGCGTCAGCCGTCTGAGCTCTAACAAAACATTCTATTTTTCTCTTCTGAGCCGTGAAACTACCACGCTTCCATCCAAAAATAACCGTTTGTTGATTTTTTTTGGTTTGTTTTACTTCTTTTTGCACAATGCCTTCTTGGTAAGTGAAGACCTAGATGATACCCCGCGTGTAGACGTCTGCGGGACCCGGCTGAGAGCCGGCGAGCACTCGGGGTCGCTGAGGCCGGGAGGATGGCTCTGCTCCGAGGAGCGCCGAGCAGACCCACCAATAATGCTGTCTTTTTCTTCCTTCGTCAGTAACCAAAGCCTGAATGTCTCAGGACGAATTCATCTCTCCCTGTGTTGTTTTTGGGAGAGCAGCGATACTTTACGGCTTATCACCAGTGAGGCCCTTAACTGGCTCCGGTCTTCAGGTGGACAGCCTGCGCGCGGAGGTGACAGCGACCCGCACACACGGCCCCTGGGAGTGTCAGCACAGCTCAAAATCTGGAGGCTCTGGAGATTTCCATTTCTTAAACCATGTTTCTGAAAACTCTGAGATGTCACACATGATTCAACTGCACAAGATGCCTCTTTCATTTGCCCTCTTTCAGGGTCGGCATCTAAGCCCATCACAGCGTTCCCACAGGGAAGGCTTGTCGCCTGACATCTGCCCACAGGCAGCCCCAGGTTCCCGTGCAGCCAGCCCCCCAGAAAACCAGAGCTCTCAAGTAAAGAGAAGAAACAGTACTGCCTAGTTTCCTAGGCAAGTTACCAGAGCCGATGAACAAGGAAGTTTCAAAAGTCATGGAAACGTCGGGACTTACGGGCCTCTGAGTTGTTCACAACGTGGACGAGCTGGGAAATCGTGTTCGCGAGCTCCTCCTGCAAAGGCGGGTCGGGGAGAGACAGCAGGGCTATCAGGCAGCGGCACCCTGACACCCTGCCGGGGCAGCACCGCAGCCTGCTCTCCCCCCGCATCTGCTGGGGTCTGGACCTCCTGTCACGCCAGCATCTGAACGCTACTGGGTGTGGACCTCCCAACCCCAGCCGACTACGCGTGCGGTGCTGGGAGGACCACGCTGCCTGGTTAGGAGAGTACGTCTAGTTTCAGTGCCAGGGACCTGCAGGAGTAAACTAGCTGTCATCTCCCGGCTTCGGAAACATAAGCCTTAAAGTGGGAGTCTCTTCTAAGCCCCCAATCCCGGATTGCTGGCGGTTAGACACAGGGACCGTCCCTCCTCAGGGGTGCGTGCGGAGCAGGGAGCCCTGAGCTCGGCTGGCTCGGAGCAGGCGGCAAAGGCAGGCGCGTGGGAAGCGGAGGTGAACGGCTCCCCTGGCGGCTCTGTCCAGGGCATGACCTGCTCCGGCGCAGCACGCTCATCTGCGGGGAGGATCTGGTGGTCTGGCTCGAGGAAGAGACCGGCCCCGGGAGTGTCAGCGAGAGAACCCTCTTCGCACGTGACGTGAGCACAGTCCTCCCGGAACTCCTCGGGCTTCACCTGGGCTCACGTCTTCCTCGCCCGTTTTAGCTGCTCGCCCAGGCTGGAAACGGACGCTCCCGTTCATGTTTTCTTCCTCCACTAAAGCTGTCGGCTGTTACTTCTGAATGTAACTTACAAATATTTTGCCCTGCTGTCCTACTCAAAATATGTTCAGTGGAGTAAAAGCAACAAATCAAAGCCCACTGCCACACGGCCGGCCGGGAAAGAGGCAGAGCTGCACGTTTAAATCCAAAGAAACCCTTTCTGTACTGAAGGGTTTCGATAGCGCTCCTCAAAGCTTACCCTTCACTAGCGGTTACACGGCAGAACGAAGGTCTGTGGACGGTGAAAGCTGTTTTCTCCCAGCGCCTGGGGGGGGGGGGTGCCCAGGAGCACATGCACATCTGTGCGTCTCCACTGACTTTAAGGCAGGGGTGTCGGATGCCAGGCCACCGCCTGCTTTAAAGAGATCCCGGCCCCAGCAGGTGGCTGCCCGGTCCTGGCACCCACTTAAGTCATGGCAGGGGGGGTCCGGAGCCCGGTGCTCACGGGTTCTCACCCCAGTGCCGTGGCCTTATCGACCACGGGTAAGAGGAGGTGAAACAAACTGTAAAACATGTAAAACCTACCCTGGAACCAGCCTATGAAACTCCAACAGAGATACCGAATCTCTCAATTATGCACATTCTAGAGTATTTGAAAAGGTGACTTGGACACCGTGTCCCTTTCTAGATGGACAAGAGGGGACAACTGAACCCGGGCGGTGACTGCAAGCTGTTTCTGTGCATGGGGGACGGAAGCGGCGAAGAACCCCCGGGCCCCTCTACCCGTCTGGGGCCCGACACCCAGGCAGGGGACAAGGAACTGTGTGTTACCTGTACGAGGGGTTCGTCCTGCACCCACATGCAATAGAAGAGCCCTTTCCATATTTTCAGGAGTTCTTCTTGACTGAAACCTCCTAGGGGACAAAACAGCACAGACATCTTACTTCAGAGTCCCCCCGTTTCCTGTCCCAGCCTCACGGGCAGCGACAGCAATACCACATTTCCATTCTTTCACCTACAGTAGTCTTTTAGCTTTGAGGCACACACTTCCTTGTGGCACGGAGTAAACACACGCAGGCTACGTGGTTTATCATCTCCTGCTGCGCACCAACACTTTCGTCAGTCTGACAAATTAAACTGCAAATCCCACAAAAGAGACGACCTGTGTCCCACACCCCTGGCCCCGCGGAAACTGGCAGAGCTCCGGGGGTTATTTTTGCGAGGACAGCTTTTCAAGGCTGAGCTGAGCTCTTTCCCCCCGGTTATGGTTTTCACTTGCTTGGCAATGACGGCCTTGTTTTAAGTGACACCAACCTGGGTAGCCTTCTTCTGACTCATCTACGAGCCCTGCACTGCCACCGACCAGGCCACAAGTCACAAACAGCCCTCTAGGTCCCAGGCAGACCCCAGGTTCATGGAGAACAAACATGACCGAGTCTTGGTGTATGTGACAAACGGCCTGTGATAAGACTTCACCGACAGGGACGAGGAAAAATTCACAAGAACGTGGACATTTGGAATCAATGTAATTTCAATATACCAACAGATAATTAAAAAATGGCAAACAGATCCTTTTTGACATACTGAAGTTTACTTAATAATATTCAGAGTGAGCTTCTTACCGTTGAAGGTATTTATATACACAGATACTGGTTTCTGAGTTATTGAATAAGACCTTTCCCATATCGATAATTTTATTACAGTGCATTTTTATTCTTTGTGATGGTTTCTCACTTAAAACCAATATACCAGAAACTACAGTAAAGTTTACTGAAACACACTACCTTTAGGGGTTGGGCAAACCACGTGGGCAACTCCCCCCTACCCGTTATGCACAACCCACACGTGGGCACCTGCCTATAGCTAGCACACCTATGGTGCGAGTGACGGGTCCCCCCAAGCCCCCAGACCGGAGACTGCCGCAGTCAGGACCACAGTAACTCTGTCAAAGTGACCTGTGCTTACATTCAGTCATGTTAAGACTAATGAATCCAGTGTTGGGGTAACGATCGCCAATGGCTGGGAAAGCGTCAGATGAAAACACACGGTGCAACTTTGGAATGGATACACGAGGCCAGTAACACCCAAACCCACTGGCCCATCTCGGCTCGCGGACACAACTCTCCATTCAATGTAGGATATGATGCAAAAGGAAGTGCACACACCACCCGCTAAGTATTCTTACAAACACCAAAACGAACCGACATCAGGTCAAATCTGACTATTTAATATTGGCTTGCGGGAAAATACAGGGGACAGAGGAACATGTCGTGAGACCATGGGATGCAGCCAGCAAAACCCCAAACGTGAGCAACTCCATTGGGCAAATGACGCGGTTCCTGCAATGAGTAAACTGCAAGAGGAAAAACATGGACAGGCACTGCGGACAGATGGGCTGAATGCAAACTGGGTCTTGCCTGGATTCTGATGAATCCTAGAAAAATGTAGAAGATGATGGGAAAACCCAACAGGTTAGGTATTTCATTTATTAAAATTTTTTTTTATTTTTAAATTTCTGAGAGAGAGAGAGAGAGAGAGAGAAAGACAGAGACAGCGTGAGCAGGGGCGGGTCAGAGACAGAGGAAGACACAGAATCTGAAACAGGCTCCAGGCTCTGAGCTGTCAGCACAGAGCCCGACGCGGGGCTCGAACCCACGAACTGTGAGATCATGACCTAAGCCGAAGTCTGAAGCTGAACAGACTGAGCCACCCAGGAGCCCCATTTAAAGGGATTTTTAAGAAAAAAGATGTGATAAGAGTACTGTGGTATGTTAGAGACTTCTCATCTTTCAGAGATACAAGCCGAGGCACTGAGGCAGAACTGCCGTGTCTGAGATTGCTTCCTGAGACGCTGGCGAGAGGAGGGAACAGGCAGATGACCCGCACCAGCCAGGTAGTCACAGACGCTGCAGCAGCGTGCGGCGTACGGTTTGTACGTCTGAAAGAGTCATTAATAAAAACGAAGAAAACAAGTACCGTGTGAGGTTACCAAAGTACTACCATGGGCTGTTTCCATTCTTTGTGTAGAAAACTCTTCACAAGGGGACGAGAAAACCGTGACCACAGGCCAATTTAAGAGGAAACAAGACAGAATGTTGCCGGTTCCTGTGAGGCCCAGTGCTGGGTGTCCCCGTTTCTGCTGCCCCGTGAGCCTCTCCAGCGCTGCCCCCTTCCAGGCAGGGGTCGGCGGGGGAGGCAGGGGTCTGGGTGGGGCTCGCCGGATACGCAGGGGGGTGGGCAAGCTGGGCTTATTCCAAGTAAGCGTGACTCGCCTTGGCCATGGGGCTGGTTCAAGACCGCACAGATAACCTCATCGCAGAGGCTCCTGCTCAGGCTCCAGGAGAGACGCTCCCTCCCACCTGGATGGGACATAGGCCACACCTGCACCCAGCCACCGAGCCACATGCTGGGGGGGGGGGCGGTGCCAGCCCGAGGAGGGGGCCCACCTGGGGGAGCAGACACTGCCGTGTAGGAAACAGCGCTGGCGCTCAGCTGAGCTCCTGCAGGACGCTGTGCTTGGCTTTCCCCTTACAACCAGCTCGGCTTGGGCATTCCGTCAGGTTGTAGCTGAAAAAGTCTCATTCGATAAAAACACATTTTTATTGCAAAAAATTCGTATTCGTATATTACGCTGGAAATTACGCAACCAAAGGTGCCTTGTTCACTACCTCCTGAACCCCAGAGGGCCATTGTTACCTGCCTGACGTATGTCTTTCCATCCAGATCCTTCCTGTGCTTTGACGTAATACTTACACGCAGCCAGAAACGCACAGACGCGTAGCTGTGTGTGTGAAACCCGAACAGCACCACACGTGCTACGTACTCCAAATTCTGGCCTTTTCCACTAAAAATAGCACAGTGTTTTTATCTCCAGATGGTTCTTCTGGGTGCACCTTGCGTCAAGCCAAGGCTGTCTGTGCCTAATCCATACCTGTATGAGTCGGAGGGCGAGTGTGCTAGAGAGGTCTCTGTGATGGAGACTGTGGATTTTGACCAAGTAGCAGAGCGACAGCAGATCCTCAACAGTGAGCAGGAAAGGGGTTGGATGTGAAAACATATCCTCAGTGTTTCATCCTACGTGAGGCGGCAAAGTGTGGTGGGCACAAACCCACGGCTGGGCCCCCGCTGTGTCGCCACAGACAACTGTCAAGGGGCCCCGAGCACGTTCCCGCACCCGCAGTACGTGCACGGCTTATGGTTAGGGGCAAAACGAAAAGCCCATACAAGAAGCACTTTGAAAGCGAAGCGCTATGCAGTTGGCAGGTGTTAGGATTATCTCGTGTTGTCCACCCACAGGCGACTGCAGCTCTTTTCCTTTGGAAACATGTATTTTCAAAATATGTATAAAAATCACTCATTTTCACCTAGGAGTTTAGGTGGTAAAAACAAGGTACTAATTTTTTTTTTTAATTGTGTTTAAACCTTTTTTAAATGTTAGGAGAGAGAGAGAATGCACACAAGTCGACGTGCATGTGAGCAAGACGGAGCAGAGAGAGAGAGAGAGAGAGAAAATCCCAAGTAGGTCCCGTGCTGTCAGTGAGGAGCCTGATGTGGGGCTCAATCCCCTGAACCACAAAATCATGAGCTGAACCAAAACCATATTCAGACACTTAACCAAGTCACCCAGGTGCCCCAAAACTCTGATTTATTAGGTAATCTCTACCTCCAACGTGGAGCTTGAACTCACAACCAGGAGATCAAGAGTTGCAGGCTGCACTCCCGAGCCAGCCAGATGTCCCCAGAAGATGTACAGCTGACACACAATGTTACATCGGAGTCAGGTGCTCCCCAGTGTAGCTACTATGTGCCACCCACGCAGCATTGTTACATAGTCACTGCCTGTGTTTTCTGTGCTGCACCTTTCTTCCCCTCATTCATTCCATAACCAGAAGCCAAAAGTACCGATTTCTGAAGCATTTAAAGCAAAACAGAGAAACGCTCATTTAATTTCTCTGAAAATTCTGAGAGTGAAATATGCATCAAAGCAGTTTCCTTCCGCAATTGCTTTTTGATCTGTCCTGTTGCTTAAAAAAAAATTTTTTTTAAATGTTTGTTTATTTTTGAAAGAAAAACAGACAGAGACACAGGGTGTGAGTGGAGGAGGGGCAGAGAGGGAGGGAGACAGAATCTGAAGCAGCTCCAGGCTCTGAGCTGTCAGCACAGAGCCCCATGGGGGCTCGAACTCACGAACCTTAAGATCATGACCTGAGCTGAAGTTGGATGCTTAACTGACGGAGCCACCCGGGTGCCCCTGGGGTTGAGTTTCTTTAACTTAATGCCGCTTAAGTTTCTGGCAACAACATAGGTTTAGTTACTTCACAACAAACGAGGGGAATATGAAGTGAGACGTGGGCTGAGTAAATTCCAACAAGCTGTGAAATGAGAAAGCCTGACAGCTTCTGTCAGCACCAAAGGAGCTCAGGAGCCGTGTTAGGTGGGGGCGAGTCTACACCAGGGTTAGTCAGGGACCCCCAAACCTGTCAGTATGAAGAAACGCTTCCCTGTTACTGTACCTGAGACCCCATCAACTGTCCGTTGTACCGTTATTTTATGCGTCACCAAATGAAAGCAAGAGGGCAAATAAAAGTCACAGGTTGATTTTAAGATCCATCCCAGTTTCTGCAGACGTTAAAGGTTTAAAGTTGCAATCACCAAAACTTGGGGGGGGGGGGATGTCTCTTTTGTTCCCTGCCCTACATCCCGTGCCAAGAATAATCATAGCACACAGTAGGTGCTTTGTTTGCTGAAGACACAAAGGAATGAGCTCTCCTGAGTAAAACCAAGGACGGCGATCACTGTGAGTGCTCTGCGAGAATAGCTAAAGCGCTGGAGCAACATTCGGCTGCTTTAAGCACTACAAAGATTTCCAATTTGTTTTTAAATTACAAGGCTATTGGGGTGCCTGGCTGGCTCAGTCAGTAGAGCATCTTACTCTCGATCTTGGGGGTCGGGAGTTCAAGCCACATGCTGGGCGTTGATATTACTTAAAAACTAAAAAGAAAACCCCCACAAAGCTATTTATGTTGCTGATGGGCAGATCAGTAAAATTTCAGACTTTATATACTACGCCCGAGACAAAAGGCAACAGACTTTGAGCCTGCCAATGAGACGCAAGTTTCGGGACAAGGTATTTCCTGACTTGCACCTCACGTTGACGGGAGCACAGTGGAGGCAGAGCCCTGTCTATTCTGCCCCATCACCACTGTCTGCGACATTCACATTGCAGCCCCTCATCTGGACGCCCGGTGTGCTCTACGCAACGTGGACATGGGGGTGAAAGAGCACGGACCAAGTCACTCTCAGTGTGCTGGGTGCTGACCAGACGGGCCCCTGGGGCACCAGTGTAACCCCACTGGCCTCACGGCCCTGTGTCCTCTCAGCATTTCAAATCCTGAGCCTGTTCATCAGAGAGGTTTGAGCAACAGGTTCTGTTTGGCTGTCTTGGCCCAAAGGTACTGCATTTGGCCTTTCTTCAGTCCTTGTGTTCATACAGGTGAGCCCGTGCATGCCTGGATGTGCTCCCACTTCCAGCTAAGCAGACAGACTGGAAGCTTCCACTGTTGGGGGAAGAATGACACACTAACAGATAAGGAAGAAGCTACTTAGCTAAGTGCCGCCATGGAGACCCACCGGATATTTTGGAATCCTGGAGGGGTGGGGTGAGATGGTGGGGAAGGCACTTTGGAGGAAGTGATATTGAACTGGATGCCAAGAGTGAACAAGAGAAGCAAAGGCAGAGAGGGGAGTAGTGATGCGGACCCAGCATGAAGTAGTCACGTAGGGCCCGAAGTAGGAAGAGAACGGAAGGAGAGACCTTACCTGCAGACCTGGAAATCCACAGAAGCAGGTGATGTGATCAGAGCTGGTTTAGGAAGACGACCCTGGGCTGGTGTGCGGAGGATGGGTTCAAGAGAGGCACAAAGGCAGAGTTAAGGAGACTGGTCAGGAAGTAAGCAAGTTCAGAGGTCTGGATGAGATGAAGGGGGTCTTCAGTGAGGGCAGAGGATGTCAGAAGATGAAAGATGGTAGGCCTGAGAGACGATGGGTGAGGGGTCGGGGGAGAGGATCAGGAAGAGGAGTCTGGGACATGACCACGTGTCCGGCTAGAGCGAGTGGAGAGCGGGGACACCATCTAAGATACGAGAACACACGCGGCAGAGGAGAAGCAGAAGAGAACGGGTTTCAGGGGGAGGAAAATGACTCACTTTTGGGCCTGTGAGTCTGAGGGGCCCATGGGACAGCCAGGTGCAAGTGCCAGGTCTGCTCTAGACACTTAGACTTATGACCCTTCAGTGTGCTGGGGATACCTGAAACCCTCAGAGTAAACGAAATGCCTCAGGGAGGCCCTTAACAGAGCTGAGGTTAGGAACTGGGTCCTCATTCCTTTCTAGCAGACTTCCCATCAAACTTATTGTCTTTTCCCTGGGTAGTCTTTTTGTGATTTCTCCTCCAAATAGAACAAACTAAGAAAGTCAGTACACAGGCAGATAATATCTATTCTTTCAGGGAGACTCCAAATGTATTAGTATTAGCAGTAAATCAAATTATGTATGCTAGCACAATCTAAAAACCGTGACCATCTGTCACGGTTCACACTCTCAAGGGTTTGCAGAACGGACCCTGGCTCAGGTCAATGAAATCCTTCAACGGCACCCCAGTGCAGTTAAAACGCAAACCAGAAAGCCCAGTGTGACTTGGCCATTGCTGACTTTTCCAACTTTAAATCGTAACACCCTCAACTGGTCTTCCAGCCACTCCCAGGGCAGATTCGCCCTCTTCTCCGGCCTCTGTTCGGATCCGTTGAACGTCGCCCCAGAGGCCTTCCCGCACCAGGCAGAGTAGCGGAGCTCCCTCTTCCCTTGGCTGCACTTGTAAAACTCTATTTCAGTTATCCACGCCCCGCCCGGATGTGCTGGTGCAACTCTGGAAGTAGGGATTCGCTAGTCTCCTGTAACTCCGCACCTAAGGGGTCGGGTACCATAACACGTGCCATCAATGGGGAGCACAGATGAAGAAACCGGGCTAAGTTTGGTGACTCAGGGGCAGGCTCGGGGTCGGGCAGCCCTTCCTCGGCTTCCCACTCGCCGCGACTTTCGGCACAACACCCCGCCCCTGCGGGCTGCAGCCCCTCCACCGCCACTCCGGGCCGGCCCCAGCAGGAGGCCGTCCCCACGGCGCGGAAGCACCCAGGCCCGCGGCGGCAGCGCGGCTCGGCGCCCGCCCCCGCCCCGCTCCCCCCGGCACGGCCGCCATGTGGCGCGGCTGACCGCCCGGCGCCCACCTGTCTCCCGCTGCGTCTTCACGCTGATGTACTGGCGCAGCTTCTTCACCGCGCGGTCCCGGATGCCCTTCTCGTGGGACGCCAGCCGCTGCGCGAACTGGAGCTCGGCCGGCTGCATGGCGGGGGCCATCGCGCCCGCTGGACCATCCCCGGCCGCAGCCTCCCGCCGCCCGCAGCCTCCCGCCGCCGCTGCCGCCGCCGCCGCCGAGCTGCCCGGGGCCGCGTCTGCGCAGAAAGAGGCCCGCTCCGGCGGCCGCGGGCGGGGGCGGCGCGCGGGCTGATGGCGTCACAAAGGCGCCGGCCGCGGCTCGCCGCGCGTTCCGGGAGCGAGCGCGGCCGGCCCTGGCTGGCGTTCGGCCGCCGCTCCGCCCCGCGCCTCCGCCGTCTCTCTCGCCGCGGCCCGGCGTCCGGCGGCGAGGTTAGCTAGCGTTGGGTCTTGGCCAGGAAGATGGATGGCCAATTTAAGTAGTCTAGAATCTGCAGGCTCACTCTACAAAGTCTCCGTCCTGTCGATCACTCCCCTACGAGATAGCACCGAGTTTTTAATTGTGCTGGACTCCTCAGCCGCCTCTGCCGGGTGGAGACTGAGCAGGGGCGGCAGTCTCTGGGGGTTTTGGCTCCATTAAGCGGCCGCCCTGACGGGCTCCAGGTCTCAGCCTCCGCTGCTGGCCGAGGCAGCGCGCTCCAGCGTCTCCCAGTGTCCGGGTCCCGGGGCCGGTCCCAGGGCAAGGACAAGTCCTGGGCGGGGGCAGCTCCTGAGGTGGATAGCGAGGGCCTTGGGTGACAGGGACAGGATCCGGGTCGGGTCCCAGTGCAGAGGACGGCAGGGGCAGCTGCAGGGGATAATGGCTGCTACGGGTCCCCGTGAGGGGGCAGGAGTTTGGAGCGAATGCTAGCGAGTCCGTCCTTAGGCTTGGGGAGCATTCAGGGAACTCTGGCAGTGTTGGCTTTTTGCCAGCTTAGGAACAAACGATGTCACAGTTATTGCAGTAACGCAGTACATTTGTAAATTGAGTGGCCATATTGGGGCAAGTAAATGGACTAGGTGGCATCGTCCAATTCACGGTGGTCGTGCTGCTCAGCCCGCTGGCTAGACAGGACCCCCCCTCCAGGGCCGACTTCCCGAGGAAGTCTGTCGTCAGCGGGCTTCGAGCCCTGCTCCCGGGGCGCAGAGCCCAGCGCGGGAGCGTGGCCGCCGGCTGCGCGGTGGCTGTTCCCTTAGTCTGGCGTCCCTTGCCAAACAGGAAAGGCCCAATTCGACTTATTTAACTTGCCCCGTATACTTGGGTTTCACTGTCTTTCTATTTTGCAGTTAACGAGTTTAAAACTCCGGCCATCCCAGCAGAGCCGACGCAGGACCTCACCAAGCCCAGCCCTAGTCAGTAAGGCGGAAAATGCAGCGCAAACTCTGCGAGGTTTGAGCCTCGCGGCTCGCCGTTCCCGAGCCCCGGCGTGGATACGTTCCCGCTCTTTCTGGCGTGAGGGGGTCAGAGGGCGCCGCGCAGGCGCACGGAGCAGAGGTCGCTGCAGCCATGGGCGAAGCAGGCGGGACAGAGGAGGCCTGCCGGGTCCGTGAGGGGGGACCGGGCTGCCACCATTCGCTTTCCCGCGCTGTGAGGCAGTCTGTCTGGGTTTGCCAGTGCTCTTCGGGCAGCCCGGGCCTCGTCCGCGGGGCAGGGTGGCCCGGGCAGGGGGCTGAGGGCGTGGCGGGGACCCCCGCGCCCCGGGGCGGTGGGCGCGACGGCGGGACCTGCAGTCCGAGCTCGAGTCCCCTCACAAGGCCCTAGCACGCCTTCCAAGACTCAGCGCAAGGTTCGGGAGAATGAGGGCCACAGGTTGCCGCGCTGTCACCTCCACTGCGCGTGATGCGAGAGAGACCCGGGTTCGGGGCCCGGTTCCGACCCCTTGACGGCGTTACCGTGAGGAGGCCACCCAGCCTGCCTGTGCCTTTGCGTGTGACCTGGACAACCTTGAGGGGTTGGGGACGCCAAGGGAGACAACCCCCCTCGGGCCGGGCGCCCCTAGCAGGAATGCCGTGACCTTCCTTTTCCTCCCGAGGGGCTGCCGGGGAGCCGGGTGCCGGCCTGTCCTTTGGCTTTCGAGAGGGGGCCTCAGGCCTCGTGTTTAGGGAAAGGACAAAAACTGGCTCCCCTTTGCAGCCTGCGGCTCCAGCTCCGTGTACCCCACAGAGCAGAGGGCAGGGTGGGTAAAGACCTGCTTTCTGAACCTTCACAGACGTGAGAGGTGCTAATGAGAGGAGGCCGCCTTGGGCTGCGGGTCTTTGTCCTCCCAAGGGAAATGTTAACCATCTTGAAATCTGCTTGTCCTTTTAGCACGTGGGATCTAAGGAAGAATTCGTTAAAGTCAGAAAGAAGGACCTGGAACGGCTGACAACTGAAGTAATGCAAATCCGGGACTTCTTGCCCAGAATACTAAATGGAGAAGTGCTGGAAAGCTTCCAGAAGCTAAAGATTGTAGAAAAAAGTGAGTTTCCTCGTTAGCAGCCATCGAGGGGGACACCTGCTGTTCCAGCAGATTGGTGTTGCACAAACGACTGGATGGCAACTGTCAATAGGCTTTAAGGTGCTGCTCCGGTCCGTGTACTTACACTTGGGACAGTCACATAAGACCTAAGGGACAGAGGTGCCCTCATATGAGTGATCCAGACACCTAAGTTTGTGTTGGAAGAAGGGTTGCCAGTTTTTCTGTTTTCGAGTTTCTCACCAGCTTCCCTTTCTCTCCATCTCTCGTCCTTGGCATTCACGTTTGCTGCTCTTGTAATTGAAAAGCGCTGCTCTAAAAAATTAAAGAGCTTGCCCCGTGGGTACGCTGCATGGAGATGACTGTGTGCGTGGAGACCGCCGTGTGTTTCCTAGTCTCTAGGCGGACGCACAGGTCAGTGTCGAGCCCCGATTCGAGTCTGCTTGAGCTGGAGGTTCTGGCCTAGCCGCTGTGTCAGGCGGCGGTCTGGAAGCCGGTGCAAGTTCTCAGAGGCACACCGCGCCCGGCTGTGCCCTCGCGCTGAGCCAGCCCTCAGCGCTCAAGGCTGACACACCGGGCTGCCCCGCCCTGCTCAAAGTCACCAGGGCCTCTAGGAAAGTTGCTTCTGAGGCCCCGCATGGCACCCCAGCGCCGGTGCAGACGGAAGGTGTGCAAACCGCTCGTGTGTCCGGTGTGCACATATGTGCCTGGTGGAGGGCGCAGCTGTGTCTGCTTACTTGGGGAGCTGCTGGGGCTGCCGGAGTTCCCCGCCCCGCTTTTCTCCCTGGAGCCCCCAGAGCCGCGCTCCTAGTCCCTGCGGTGTGTGGCCCTGTGGTGGACTCCTGCTGACCGGCCGCCTCCGGCTTAAGTGCTGGCTGCCTGGGACTCACCGCGGAGGGCGTCAGAGGGCGGAGAGAGAGTTCAGGCCCGGTGTTTGCTCAGGTGCTGTGGCTTGCGCCTCAGGCCCCGAAGGCAGTCTCTGCTCTCGCTGGGCTCCGGTCACAGCGTTTCTCCCATTCCTTCATCGGTGGGCCTTTGCCAGTCTCTGGGGCCTCAGCAGCCCTGTTGTTGGGGGTCCCTTATCCCCACTTTGTCTCTGTAAGTAGTCCTTTCCGTGACTCTCAACACCCGGGCCTCTGTGTGCCACTGGGACCCTGCCGCGTGTGTGTCACCGGTTATGTGGTAGCTCTGGCTCACTGGCTTCTGAGTCCCTGCTTCTGGTCCCGTGCCCTTCCGGCGACCCTCTGAGAGCACTCAGTCACCCGCATGCATTTATCTTCCGGGAGCGGAAGTGCTGGTCCGCAGCTGGGTATGTCAGCGCACTGGGTGGTTCTGCCTCTGCGGAGTAATAAGCTGGCACTCAGGGCCTCATGAATTGGTCAGCAGGAGTCAGCTTTAGAGACACAACATCAGGTTGCGTGTATGTCGGAGCGGGGGCCACATACGAATCTGTGGTGACTTGATCACACCTAGGCTTCAGGTGCTCTTGCCTTGCGGCCCCTGGTCTTCCTCAGCCCTGCGCCATGTCTTCCTGCTCTCCGGCCTTCCTGTCCTGGCCTGCTTTGCCCATGCGCCCTTCTTTGCAGCAGCCCTTTGGCTAGTGGAGCTGCCTGAGGCTCAGACCTACGCCCCGTCTCCCCCGCTGCGTGGCTTTTCCGTGGGCAGTCTCCGTGCCAGTGGCTCCGGGCAGGTGTCTGGTCCTAGGCTTGCCCAGACCTCCAGGCTGGCGGTGCTGTATCAGACTCCTCCGTGGCGTTCCTTCTTGCTTGTTTCACCATGATTTCAGATCCTCACCATTTGTCTTATAACAGCCAGCCTGCAGCCATCACCAGGGACCCGGAGTCCCCTGAGGGAGAGCACACAGCAGAGGAACTATGGGCATCTTGCCAACAAAAGGCTGGCTTTGCCAAGAGATTTGGGGAAGGGTGGAGTTCGGGTGAAATGCACGTTAAACCATTTTTTTTTTTTTTTAATTGTTTATTGTTGAGAGAGAGAGAGAGACAGAGTGTGAGTGGCAGACAGGCAGAGAAAGAGGGAGACACAGAATCTGAAGCAGGCTTCAGGCTCCGAGCTGTCAGCACAGAGCCCGACACGGGGCTCGAACTCACAAACCATGAGATCATGATTGAGCTAAAGTCAGATGTTTAACTGACTGAGCCACCCAGGCGCCCTGCGTGTTGTGATGGGCTCCAAGCAAAATAGGGCCATGTGCGGGGCCATCACCGTATCCTACTACAGCGGACCCGGGCCTTGTCTTTGTACGTAGTTGGACAACACCGTGTCTGAAGTGCCTTATTTGAAGCTCTGCAGGTGGCTGGAAATCAAGGCGGCTGCTCTGTGTCCTAGTGACTTTGATCCTGCATGGAACAGTGAGACATTTTCTTTTTACTGGTAGAATTCCAAAATGGTCTGGGATTTTAAAAAATAAGCTTTCTATGAATAAGAAATGAGCAGTCACTGAAAGGGGCTGTTAACGACACTGCAGTGTGTTCTTTCCTGTTAACTTGGCAGCTGGCTTTATATGTCTGTTAGCCCAGCCTAACACCCTGCGGGACAGATTGCTACTTTCTGACCTCTGACTCATGATACCCATCTTCCTACCCCACCCCACGCTGGGCTTCCTCAGTCTCCCCAGCACACCACCGTCTGCCTAGAGACCTGGGACCCCTCTCACTGTCTGCCTCTCCTCCCCTCCTCCCCCCGAGTCTCTCTTCCCATTAAGTCCTGTACGTCCCCGCTCCTGGATGTGCCCTGAATTCACTAGTCTGCCTTCACTGCCACTGCTGAGCTGAGGCCAGTTTTGCCTGAAGCTTTGCCTCCTGGCAGCATCCACTCGTCGTCACTTTCCAGTCTGTTCTGTACCCTGCAGCCTGTGTAGTTTGTAAGCGTTGTTTGCTTATGTCATTCCCCTGCTTATGTCTTCAATGGCTTCTCCTTGCTTTTAGGATAAAGACCAGAAAAACACCCCCTTTCCCCAAGAAAGCACTACCACCCTAAAACCTAAGCAAAACTGTACCATGGCTTGGAAGACTTTGTATTATTGGACTTAGCCTCAGGTTCAGATTCACTTCCTTATTTGACTGCCTAGATAAGATCTGTCTTCCTGTTAGTCCTGTTAGATGTTATAGCACAGCGTTCTTTTCCTTCAGATAAAGTTTTATTCTCATCTTAGGTACGAGTCTGCGGGAGGGCAGGGCCCGTTTTTGCCTCCTATTTTATTCTCTGTGCCTGAATATTTGGTCCTGATGTTGCTTCTCGCCCTGTCTCTGCATGCTCCTCTCTCTAACTTGCTTGCTATCTCATGGAGCTAAGGTGCTTTGGCCCCTTGGTGCTGAGAGAAAGGGAGGATCAGAGTGAACTGACATAAATCACAGAATGGTCAAGATTTTAAACACTTTGCCGTGCAACCTCAGGATGCTTTTCAGGTAGTTAAACTGATCTTGAAGCTTGAAATTGGGGTCAGATTCTTTTGTTTCATAATTGCATCAGAAGGTCTAATAATCACTTGTCTTTCTTGATTGGCTCCAGTTTACTTGGAGAGAGACAGTGAGAACCATTCAGCCTCTTTTCTCCGAATTAGTTAACATATAGTGTAATAATGGTTCCAGGAGTAGAATTTAGTGATTCATCACTTACAATTAACCCTCCCCGCTCATCCCAGTAAGTGTCCTCCTTAATATCCCATACCCATTTAGTCCATCCCCCCACCCACCTCCCCTCCAGCAACCCTCAGTTCTCTGCATTTGAGAGTCTTTTAGGGTTTGTTTCTCTCTCTGTTTTTATCTTACTTCCCTTCCCTTCCCTTATGTTCATCTGTTTTATATCTCAAATTCCACATATTAGTGAAATCCTGTGATATTTATCTTTCTCTGATCAACTTATCTTACTTAGCATAATACACTCTAGTTCCATCCGTGTTGTTGCATATGGCAAGATTTCATTCTTTTTGATTGCCAAGTAATATTGCATTGGATATATAAACCACATCTTTATCCATTCATCCATCAATGGACATTTGGGCTCTTTCTATACTTTGGCTATTGTCGATAGCACCGCTGTAAACATTGGGGTGCATGTGCCCCTTTGAATCAGCACTCCTGTATCCTTTAGATAAATACCTAGGAGTGCAGCTGCTGGGTCGTAGGGTAGTTCCATTTTTAATTTTTTGGGGTATCTCCATAGTGTTTTCCAGAGTGTCTGCTCCAGTTTGCATTCCTACCAGCAGTGCAAGAGGGTGCCCGTTTCTCCACATCCTCGCCGGCATCTGTTGTTGCCCGAGTTGTTAGTTTTAGCCACTCTGACAGGTGTGAGGTGGTATCTCATCGTGGTTTTGATTTGTGTTTCCCTGATGATGAGTGGGAAGTTGAGCATCTTTTCACGTGTCTGTTGGCCCTCTGGATGTCTTCCTTGGAAAAGTGTCTCTTCATGTCTTTTGCCCATTTCTTCATTGGATTATTCGTTTTTTGGGTGTTGAGTTTGGTAAGGTCTTATAGATTTTGGATACTAACCCTTTATTCAATGTGCCATTTGCAAATGTCTTCTCCTATTCTGTCAGTTGCCTTTTAGTTTTATTGAATATTTTCTTTACTGTGCAGAAGCTTCTTCTCTCACTGATGTCCCAGTAGTTGATTTTTGCTTGTATTCCACTTGCCTTCGGAGATGTGTCTAATAAGCAGATGCTGTGGTCGAGGCCAGAGGTTGCTGCCTGTGTTGTCCTCTCGGATTTTGATGACTTACCGTCTCACACTTAGGTCTTTCATCTATTTTGAGTTTATTTGTGTGTGTGGTGTGAGAAAGGGGTCCAGTTCCGTTCATCTGCATGTCGCTGTCCAGTTTTTCCAACGTCATGTTCAGCCTGTTTCAGTCTTCATTCTCGTATAGAACACTTTTCAAACACTCAGGTTGTCTTCCAGATGTTAGGTGATGGAACTCACAAACAACTTGACGTCTTAGTGGCAGTCAGATACTGAGTCTAGGGTTGTGATCGTGTAGTTTTTTGTGTT